AAGAAGAAGAAAGGAAAAACAAAACGACGAAGGACGGATAAAAATGCGAAGAGCACGAGATGAGAAGGAGAAAGTTTGCAGCGCGAAACTCTCGACCGACTAACGACCATCGAAAGCATCTGGCTTTGGCCAGCACTCGCGACGCATCGATCCTACCCGGGCTCTCGTTGCTGCTTTCGAATAAATACTGGAAGAATGCCCACTTGAAGGCGGCTCGCTAAAATTATTCTCGTCGTTCCATTATCATTAAGTGGCCGTTCGCGGAGAGCGCATTTGCTTGGCTGCGTGTGCGTTTGCGCGTGCAACGCCAGAGATGGAAGGAACGAGGGTGGCAACGAAACGAAGAAAAATGATGGAAGCGTTCCGGGCGGGACGCGGAAATTGCGGGTATCTCGATGATAATAATTCATGGAGTCTCGATCGTTTCGCGCAAGATATTCCAGTGTTTTCCAATCTTCGGGAGATTCGTCCTTTCTGGGGAGGAGATCATCGTGGTTGAACGACGAAAATTTCACTCGGATCTCCCTCTCGTCTCGTGTTTCCCTCGCCGGGACATCGGCCGGATTATTTTTTATCGAGCCATCGGGCACGCTGGCATGGAAACGCAATTTTTACGGTTCGATCGAGCGAGGATTCGTGTTTCGTTTCACGCGACAGAGAACGAAATTTTCTCACGAGGGATTGCGTCAACAGGTTCATTAATAGCTGGAGGCATCGAATCGGTCGAAATGAGCAACTCGTCCGTACGTGGAAATCGTTCGACTGTGGAATATTCGAACACTCCAGTTTGTTCTTTTTTTTTTTCTTTCTTTCTTTCTCTTTTATTAAAATCGAAACTGAATTTGGTACCAAATGATACACCTCACGATGATACGTCAGTCACGGGAAATTTTCAAGCTGAGCGGACAATTATTGTTTCCGAGATACAAGGGGGATCGAAGGATGCGCTTCGACGTGCGAACTTTCACGTTGGTCGGATAATTTAAAAAATTGCTCTCAGGTTCGGTTAGGTTGTTCCCTGAATAATATAACCCCGAGCGGTTGTTTAGAAAAATAAACGATATAAATCAAATCATGAATGTAACCAATATATAGAAATACTCGCGTTTATACGTGACATATTGTGAATATATATCGAGTATTATATTTTATATTTATAAAGTATTAAAAATTATCGTTTACTATTTAAATTGAAAATAAGCGTTTTTTTTTTAAATAAATATTAAAAGGAGAGACTTTCTGTTTCCTGCGAAAAATTATTTTCAGCCATGGTAACGTAAATTTGAACAATTTTGTAAAAATGCCATAAAGTATTTGACGAAACAAACAGATTCAATCACACGGATTGCAAAAATCCACGATACCGAGAGTTAATGTATATTGGCTTCTTTGATCTCTCGCATTTGAAATATTGTGTCGCACGTATTATATCATACGTTAAATCAGAAACTAATTACCCGCTCAGCTTGAAAATTCGACGCGATTAATATCTCGTCACAAACTGTTAATTGGTGCCAAAATCCGAAATTGGCTGACCAAAAACGGGCGATATTTTCAATCGGATTCTTCCTTCTCTAAGAGAAAAGCTATCAACAGGTTCATTAAAATTCGCGCGATTCTTGGAAAACCGCAGCCGTGTATACTCCCCACGCGAATCACCCGAAAACCGACACCGATTAAAAAGACTACGCGTAAAAATAACGCGTCAGACAAAACCACGCGTCGTTCTCTCTCTCTCTCTCTCTTCCCGCTCTCCTTTCTCCCCCGACGAATATTTTCCTCTCTTTTTTCCTTTCCATTCTGATTTCTTCCATTTTTTTTTCTTTCTTTTCTTCCTCCTTTTTTTTTTTGTGTGTGGTTCTATCACCCGACAAATCGCAACTCCGCAGCCAGATAACACGGCACGAGCGAAATTTACACGGGGGCGGCGCGCAGAAGCTAATTAGGGATCGTTTCCTAAAGTAAACAAGCGTATCGAGCCGATTTATGCCGCGTTTCATTGTAATTTCTGCAGGACAAATCGTTGCCCGGTTAGCTGTTATCACCACGGCTTTAACGCCGTGACAAACCGAAGCGTCAGCCTGTAAAATGAAAGCGGCAGATTATTTAACGCTTCCGGTTGGATCGACGGTTAGAGCGACGAGTAGTTAGGAATAATTCAGGCGACCTGGAAAATTCCCGACGTCGATTAAACTGAGGGCCCGCCGCGGTGAAACGCGATCGTCGTCTCCAGCTCGTAACAAGTTTCGCGTCGCTCACCTCCCGGGAAATTGGTCCCCGAACAACAAGTTCCAACCGTTCGTGCAGTGGCAATGACTGATGTACTCGCGCGCGCGCGCGCGCGCGCGTGCACACGGCCAGAAGGAGCACTCTGAATCCTGGCGGACGATGAGATAAGGAAACCGTGTAAGCGTCTGCTTTGGTATTCCACGACACGCGGTGAAACGCTTCATGTAATTTTCACGACTCGCCGCGCGTTGTGTAAAACGACGTGCGAGATAGCGCGTCGAGCGAGTTAATATGCTGCTCCTTTTTTTTCTTTTTCGAATTCCCTTCGCGAGGTAGCGTGCAGAGAGGCGGATGAAGTTTCCCAGCCGCGAATTATAAATTCGCGTTGCGCGATAGAAAAATGGAAAGGACAAATTCGTTCGGACGTGCAACAAATGCTTTTGACGAATACTCTGCAGGCTGGCTTCGAAACGAAATCGTAAGTGGTTTTTAAAATTCTTTTTAAAACTTGAATCGACATTTGGACAGTGACAATATCGATAAAAAATGAGCCTGAAGTAATTCGAGTTAATCAAAATATTCCTAACACCGATCGAAAATTTCATATGCAGTTGATATTAATAGGTGTTGGTAAATAAATGAATGATGTAGGAGTTTCAATTAAAAAATGCTTCTGAAGAAATTACGCGTTAAGAGTGTAAACTGCACCTCGAAAGTAAAAAAAAAGTTCAAGGGAAATTTCATCTTTTATTATAAAATTACGCTCGATAAAAAATTGATACGTACTTAAACAGTTGTTTTGAACGTATAATTGCCCCAATGGCAGTGAGCAGTAAGCATCGAGATACACACGAGACACTCACAGATAATTGTATCTCATTATCGTGACTCTGAAATATCAACGAGTTTCATGTTATAATATATACATACGTAAAATGATGTTCTCGAGAAAGAGGACAAATTATTCGTATTTTTTGCTTTGGATTCAGTATGGAAGCTCCGAGATTTTACGTGGAATCGTTAACGACGACGAGAATTAGTTTCGAAAAAAGAAGACAGCCGCGCGTACTACATATCCATACGAAACTAGACGCTGGAACTAAATGTCGCCACTTAACGTTCTACTTTACGAGCTCGCTACGTAATCATTTCCGTCAGACTTTCTCGCGTCGAATCGCACGTGCTTTCGTTTCGTGCTGTCGAAAAACCCCCGCTAAGGAGAAATCGAACGAGCACGCGCGCGACAATTGTTTCGCGGGCTGCGATAAAGGGAGACGAATCGCTCGAACCGGTCGAACGATTTCTCAGATGTCCAACGACCGTCGCGAGTATTCGTTGCTTCTTAAGTTGTCCCGATTACTCGCCGTGGGAACTCGGTGCAGATTTACTAGTGCAGACGTGCAAGAAGCAGGCGAAAAGGAGCGACTTGAAACCGAGCGGCGGGGGGGAGAAAAAAAAAAAGAGAAAAAGAGGAAAAAAGAAATGTGAAAAGAAAAGAGCGCGAAAAGCCACGAACAGGAGAAAGTTTCCAGCTCTCGAGCGGCTAACGACCGTCGAAAGCACCGATGTCGGTTCCTCTTTCCTCGGTAGCAGAGACCAGTGTTGCCCGCCATTGAAACCATGAAACGAGTCCCCATCTATACACGACCGGTCGTCTGACTGCGTATCTACTCATTCCCCTTTGCTTTCCTCCCATTGTCGTTGTGCTTACAGCTCGGCGATGGTACGTGGCGCGCCAACGATTTTTGCAGCGGTAGTAAAACAAGAAAGAAGCCAGTGGAAAGAGAATGTAACGCACAAAGACGGGAAAGAGGGAAAAATCCGAAAAACACTATCGAGCGTGGGCCGGTTGTTTCACGTAGAGATAGCACCGAATGTCTCGCGAACAGGCTTGAACTTTGCCTGGCTTCACTTCTGTTTCTCTCTACGCGCAGTTTTCCCGTCAGGTGAGCTCGTGAATAATAATGTAGCTTATTAATGTAATAATATAATAATAGAGATGTTATTAATATATTAATACAATAGAGATGTCTATAACCATTGATAATTGTGAAAGAATGAGAAGTGAGTACGGTGGTAGAAGAAGCAATTTTGTAATCTCGTTTCCAAGATTATCATCACAATAGTCGTGATTCATTATAATGCTAATGATATCTAAAAGAATTTTGAATAAAATAATATTCAGAATATTAAATAATCTAACATGTTCACAAGAATTCCAACATGTTTTCGCAAGTTACTCCAATATATAGCAATTATTTTAATCGTTATTTGTCGTTTGTTATACACCGAAAAATATATGTATTTAATAATTACAAGTTACGTAGTGAAAATGTACGTACACAGTTAGTACAAAAGTATGTGCACAGAATGGATCATGTTCTTAGACACAGAAAAGGAGAGTAAGTGTTGGCTGCAAAAGAAAGGCCTCGGGATACTCGAGCTCTCTTTGAATAAAATGCTTAATTAGATTCTACGTACTTTTCTACACTTACACTCTACGTTTCGCTGTTTCAACAAATTTTGTATGTCAATGTTGACCGGCAAACTCTTTCCCTTCCCAAAGAGTATTCGAGTTAAATGTAAAACGTAGAATTAACACACCAATGTAGAACAATTTACGTGTATAAAGTATTCGGTCCTAAGTTATCCGAAGATTTTCCTTTAGAATACAATATAAGAGAATTGTGTGTAACTTTCTTAATGTAAAAATCGTGCGCGATTTTTCACGGAAATATGATACATTCATAAAACCTCTATAAATATCCAAATGCTCTTCTGAGTCACGGGAGAAATGATAAAAATAAAACTGTAATATAAAAGAAAATAAACTAGAGTGGAAGTATAAAGAGACTTCCGTTTCTACAAATAGAAGCTATAGACTATAATCTTCGTTCTTACGTCCCATAACACCGAAGTTACCAGAATTATTAAGATTCCTCCCCTTATCTATAAAGAAGCAAACTTTCCTTCAAATATGTATATATCACGAAAGAATGAACCTCCAAGTCCTAATGTTCCCTAAAAATGTCCCAAGTTACTGCACAACTGCGAAACATGTAAACTTTAAACTCCCGACCAATTTTTACGACCCCGGGCCGTATCGCCCTCTCCCATAAACGATTCGAGCATCCTCCAACAAATAATAGCCTTGAAAAGCGTAACGCGAGCCACGTCACGTAAAACGCGCGATAAATTGAGACGATCCTGCCGACAGCCTAGCTCTCTGTATTCCGAAAATTAAAGGGTATTTTGACCCGAACTCAATTCCACGGAGCAACGCGTTTAAAATACCGCAAGTGTACCCACCGCAGTCTGACAAGCCAGAGATGGGATCGAGTATCTCACAGGTGCGCTCCAATCTTTAATCCGTACCCTCTACAGGTATTCCCACGTAGACTTATCATTCATCATTCGTACAATCTCTCCTTTAATGTAACAAAATGTGGCAAATTAAAATCGTTTTAAACACGCGACAAAAGTGCAAAAATAAAATTTTCATCCGACATTTTTTCTGCGCGTGAATCAGCTCGTCTAGGTTATTAAAAACTCATTTCTCTTGCAATTCAATTTTGTAAAATTACGACGTTCTTCCTCGTTTTGCTCTTCAATCAAAGTTTCGTTGTATTAGTAAATTTACTAAATTGTACAAATTTTACAAAAGTCGTACTACTTGTGAATACTTTTCTGAAACTAGTAGGTATTTCATCTAGAAATCAACTTGTGTAAAACCAAGCTGCAAATAATATAACATAATGCAACATTCAATGCAACACTTTTACAAATAATAGTAATTCGAAACTTGGATACCGAATTTGTATAAGCGTATATATTGTACACTGAACCACAATGAACTATACGTTGAACAAATTGCAAGTATCCTTAATTTTTATTTAACTTGAATATAGAACTCGATTTGTACAAAGTATACTCGACGAAGTACACCGAACTTTGCGAACTAAACTGAAATGAAACGTAAAAAATAAAAATAAAAATCGAACACTCGCTCGAAACGATTGAATACCACGTTAGAATCCCACATTCCAAGCAATATATCCAAAATCCGCGAGACGAAACCTACCAGCCACGAACTTTTGACTCGGCAAGTACATTTTAGACTTGATCCCATCTCTACCGGCGGGAGCGCGCGCGAGAAGTAGAAAATTACGTGCACGGCCAGACAACGAGGATAGATGGGGCGTAGCGCACGTCTCTCTGGTCCGGCTCACGCGGCTTCCACGAGGAAAAGAACTTTGACACGAGACAGATGCTCCGTCCTATTTTGTCGCGGGGGCGGCTGTTTTGCATAAACCGACGTGTTGCCACGCGGATCCGGTCGAGGATCGGCGTCACGATTGAAATATTTACGGGACAACCGGCCGGCGGGTACACCGTCCGCCCTTAGCCGTGGTTTAATATCTCTGTTCTGTTTCGCGGTCCGCCAAAACAGGATTCCAGGTTCGGCACGTTGTTTTTCATCGTCGTTGCGCGTGCACTCGCGCGTTTTGCGAAATCGCGGTTACGAGCTACAGATGGAGGTTATTGCGAAACTTCGTTGACGAGGGGGAAACGGTGGCTCGTTACGAACTTGCGGACAGCGGGCGGATCGACTCGACGAAACGCCTTTCCTGAATTTTATGTTAAATCACCCACCTACGCTGAGGCGGAGGAACTTTGGCAAATTGGCTGTCCGCGCGATCGCTTTTAATACTTTCGCTCGCTTTGCCCGTCGAATTTTTATTAGCGAACGAAGTTGTCGCTTCTTTCGGCGTTTTTTTGTTTCGACGTTCTCGCTCGTGTTTGATTGATGCAAAAAACACTGTTCGAGAGTACGTGGATATTCTCTCAATTCTTGCAAACAAGTGAAAAAATACTGAAATATCTGATAAATGTAGCTAGTTTTGTTTCTGTGCATCGTTGTATGCTCTACTTCTGTCAGAGAGTATATTTTATCAGTAACGATAAAATAACATTAACATCTATAACAATAAAGTATAAGACAAAATAGTCTGCATCATTTTCTCATTTTGTATTTATTACACGCGTATATAGTCCTTTTCTTAGACTGCCGAAGGAGATAGTTGCGCATCAAAAAAAAAAAAAAAAAAAAAAAAAAAAAAAATTATTACAAAAAAAGAACAAACTTCTTTCACGGACGAAATTGACTTTAAAGATTTGTTGCAGACAGGATGATATTCCTGTAACTAAAATAACTTTTGTGAAATATTGTTTTTGTCAGAAAATTTTTAAACAGTTACCCCAAGTACGCGTATATCGATTGTAAACTAACTGGCAACCGAGCCGTGTTTAAAATCCCTGTTTCTTGAAAACAATCCAAAATTTTATTTCATATCAGTCTTCAGCTTATTTCTTCACACAGAGACGGCAGTCTGTACATTTGTAAAAATATTTAACAACTATAATACGTTGTTACAGCAATTTAATAACAAGAATAATATCATTTTCCAATAAAAACGTTAAGCGTCCACATACTTTTGATCGTTGAGTGTACGCGGGGAAGTTATCGTTATAAAAACGGATCGAAAGAAAATAATCGGCGATGAAAGCGAAACAGCGGATGGTTCATCACGCTGCTACTTGTAACCCGATTAATTTTCCCCGAAGAAGCGAGAACCGTTTTTCTCCATCCCTCTATATACACGAAGAAGTTTCAATCACCAATCGAGGGGGATCGATTTCTCACCAGATCACGCACTGCACGTTACATTCTTCACGAGGGTGTACTGTATCGTGTATTTCATCGAGTTTTCAAGTAAAACACTCTGTCCTTGATCTACATACGTGCAATATCGCGGAAGCGACGGAGGGAGGTAAAAGACAGTCGATTCGTGGTACCAGCCTTCTCCTTCCCCCCTTCGCCCCCGTCACAGTTCGCGGAAGTTTATGAATAAGTAGACCGCGGATAAAAGCAAAGTTGCTAAGTGTATAATTAACAGGCACGACGGGGAGGGGGGAGGGAATATCGAACGAGCTGGAAACTGGCGAAGATACTAGCGGAAAAAGAAGGAAGGGAGATTGTTGCGCCCGGAATTGGCCTGGACATACCTCCGACACCTGCGACAAATTCTCCTCCCCTTCGGCGGTCTTTAGACTGCCAGCAAAAGAAAAAAAACAAAAAAAAAAAAAAAAAAAAAAAAAACGATATTAACAGATAATATAAAAGATTAAGTAAAATAAGCTATATAACTAAATTGACCATCCAAATACCAACGCTCGAAATAATCTCAAGATTTCCCAAACCACCCGCGGAATCGCAGACCAAACCAAGTACGTAGTGCCGTTTACACCAGCCAGATGAGAACCTAGCAGACGAGATCCAAACGCAGCGAACAAAGCTGAGAAGCAACATGAAAGACCATCGGCGGATACCGTCTGGGACGTCACGGTTCCCCGAGTCAGCATGAAAAAAATATCCTGCGCCTGTGGATGTGTGTATGTGTCTCCATTTCGTCAAAGCCACTCGACTCGCAGTTGTTTCAGTTCTGACACACACACACACACACACACACAAAGAAAAAAAAGAAAAAAAGCGGGGCGGAAAGACGGGTCTGAAAAGTCAGACTGAGTTGACCCGGCAAACGCGAGTCACGACGCGGCAACGATGACGACGGGTTCGCCGCGAAAAATACCCTCGGAGGTGCCAAAGCCTGTTTCTCACTCTCGCAGCGCGGCCGGCCCGCTAGGTGTTCAGGTCTGGGTGACGTAAGCGGTAAAGAGAGAAGCGGAAGGACTCGGGAGTGAAAAGAAGAACTTGGCTCAAAGTTCCCGTTCATCTGGGCCAAGCTCGCAAATAACAAACTCTCAGAACCCGGTGGCTCGAGGTGCGCGTTGCGGCGCGCTTTGCTGGCTCTCCGCGAACCGCGAGAGGGGAGGGCGAACAAACGGAGGGAATGGGCAGAGACGACGACGTTCGTTCGTGTGTGCATTACGCGAAGGGAAGGACGACAACGACGAAGACGACGACGACGACGACGACGACGACGACGACGACGACGACGACGACGCGGGGGAAACTAACCAAAGGGGAACAGAGAAAGATGGAGAGAGAGAGAGAGAGAGAGAGAGAGAGAGAGAGAGAGAAAGGCTAGGGAGAGGAAGAAGAAGGGCGTAACTGGGCCAAACGGTGGCTGTGTCGCGCGGTCTAGACACCGCCGCCGCGCGGTTGCGGAGAATTAATGCTGCCAGACTTTCCTTTTCGCTCCGTAACAAGCAGGCGGTTCCGCCATCCGACGACCGATCGTAATCCGTGACGTTTGATGGCCACCGAGAATTATAATGGATTCACGTCGCATGACGCTGTCGCGTAATCGGATGGTAAGACGGTGGCACGGTTATTCTCAGAGATGAGGGTGTTTCTCGGTTCGGTGATATTTTCGTTTCGTAGGAAGCTTCTGTTTGATACAAGGAGAAGTGGATTAGATTTTAGGATTTAGGAGATTGGATGAGAGGTAGTTTTATTTATAGTCCTTTGAATATTTTATTTGGAAGATTGGATAGTTTGACCAACCCCTATTGTAAGGGATTAGTTAGGACAGTAAATTTCTAAATATTTTATTCGGGAATAGTGTGACACACGTATATCAGAACGTGGTAGGATTTAAATATGTTGGAATATTTTAAACAGTCGGTATCTATCAGTTTAATAATATTTATAAATATACGTAATATTTATTTCAGAACATATAGACCCTCGTCTGCATCAGTTGAATTCGAATCTAATCACTTGAACAAATAAATTGAACGAATATCAACAGTTAAGGACATCTCTGATAAAAAAAAATGGCACCTAACTTCTACGAAGGAATGGCCATATTTCAACTGTGCCGAAAATTTATATTTTAGTCTTGGCGAACGAGGAAGATTTGTAACTCATACGCATAATTGAGACGATATTATTACACAATATTATCACAAATTGTGCAATAATAATTACAAAACATACAATTGGTCGAAAACGATGGAAAGAACGTAATAGGATTGCTAACGATGTGTTAGTGAAAAAAAAAAGCTGGTTTCAGACTCGACAGGGGAAGATCAAGAGAAGTTGAGAAGGATTAATTTCTATGATCGACCATTAGTCGAGTGATTTTAATTTAATTTTCGTTTTCGAGTAGAAAATTGGTTTTAGGTTGGGGAAGGGATTAAGGAGAGATCCGTTCTACGGTCTCTCTGTAGAACAGGCAATGAAATAATGGCCGCGAGTAGAGCTGAGATAGTAGATACAGTAATGAATGATGATTTAGAAGGATTAAGATAGATTCAATGTTCAACCGTTCTGATAATGAATTATTGACTTTCTTGTCGGGGATCGATATAATGCGATAAAGCTTCTCCAACATTTTGTACCTTTTCGTCCTTTGTTCTCAATTTCTTTTTCAATTTATAACTTAAATTCGAATAAGTTTTTTTTTTAAATTTAATAGAAAACGAATTTCTTTTTTTAGTCTTCACTCTTTCCTTTGATCTCATTTCTTTTTTGAGACTTTCAGTTAATTGGTAAATTAGAATTTTCAGGATGACTCGAGTTGAAGGTACACAAAATTTCTGCAAATATTTCTTTTCTTTAGAACGAGCAAGAAGAAAGACATCTGATATTTCACGTAAGAAATTTTACAAATTTAATCGACGTACGCGGTTTATGTTTGCAACGTACATGACACGTGAAGACAATAAACGTTTTCCAGCGCTACTGTATTAAAGCGGTTTGCGCTTGGTAGTGGTCAAGAGATCAGGAATATGCGATTCGTATGAATATAACGATCGTATCGATTATTATGTAAGTGAGATATACGCGAGCAATAAGGTTCACCGAGTAACAAGAACCATCGCAAGTAATTTCTGTCGCGAAAAATAGTATACTACGATATTGTGATACAACATCGATTTGCGGTGACCACAGACACGATCATTGAATTTTTCTCCTTTTTTTCTTCCGCGTGTCACGAAAATATCTTATATTTTTTATCAGACATCTCCGTGCACGAAGGACGTATATACAGTTGTTTAAATTATTAAATTGTTCCTAATTTTCTAATTATTATTTTTATTCACCAATTGTTCCTCTTTCGCTTTTGATACACTTCCCACAATTCCCACAAAGATTCTCACCAATTTATCACCTGTCGATTATTTTTACAACGAAAGTGTTATTAAAATTTCACGAAACGGTGAAAGGTTTCACACCGGTGTCCTAATTAAATCTCAATGCTTGGCTATTAATACACATTGCGATATTATTTATACCTCGTAACAGAACATCCAATAATTAAGACGCTAAATACAATACTTGGCTGCCCGCTTTGCGTAGAAACGCACTGTGAAGCAGTAGTAAACTAAATTTAAACGCTACGATACTCGTTTATGCGTTATCCACGTATGCGTATCTTCGTTAATTATCTTTATTATCATTTTATTATTCCACATTATTTCATGGTACTCTTAACGTTTGAATAATTTGCTTCGTGCGATAAAAATCTCTCTCTCTCTCTTTTGCTTTCTCTCTTGAAAGGCAAGAGAGAAAGAAAAAGACTGAGAAAGAAGACGGACATCGAGAAGCAGTGTGTGTGTGTGTGTGTGTGTGTTTCGATGAAGGCCGTGTGGATCGTGCAAAGGCATCTCGGTCGTTCTTTGACCGAAATAAAAATAGGCGCGCTGCTTGATTTTCGTCTGTGTGATAGGAGAAGGCATTTCGCGCGACGTTAAGGGAGGTCAGTGGCAAAAGGCGAGCCCACGAACGGAGGGGGTGGGTCTCGTCTGAGAATCTTCTCAGACCGCTTGGCCTTTGATCTCGATCCCCCGTCAACCCGTGACTCGACTCGTTTCTAATTAATTTTTTGATCGTTACAGGCCTCTTATCTTCTTTCCTTTCCTCCAGTTTTTCTCGGTCTCTCGAGCGTTGAAAGAAAGGGTAATCGGAATAGCGAATTACAATCGACACGCCAAACACACATTTTTAGTGGAATACAGGGATTTTTGTAATTTAGAACGATGGAGGAGTAAACTTTCGTTTGAACAAAATTTCGTTCAACGTGAAAGCGAAAGAATTTTTAAAGAACGTGGGAATTTTTGCCATTCTTTTTTTTTCTTTTTCTTTTTTTTGTGAAGTAACTTCATCGTACAGAAATGAATTCTTTTTTAAAATTTAAAGCCATGTTTGCCATTTAAAGAAAAGCGTTCTTAATTGTTCATTTGACAAAATAATATTTCAAGCTTCTTAATGTTAATTGATTAATCTCAAAATTCGCGCGAAATTTCTTCGACATTTCGTCTGTTTAAATATCTCTCACCAGACTAAACTCCGAAATTTCTTTTAATTTATAGGACACGGGGCTGTTCGCTCCACGCTTGATTATAAAACTATTTTTATTCGCAGGCGTAACACGAACCATTCGAACGAAAACTGTGCTAGGTTCGAAAGGTTCTGCAGCTATTTTAGCTAGCAACAGAACGTCATGCTTCTATCAGCCCATTCTTCTCTGTAACGAGATTTAGTTAGACGATATTTTGTTCGTATCTTTTCTTTTTCCACCTCTGCAAAGTGCAAAAAAAAAAAAAAAAGAAAAGTATACTGTTCGTCTGTGTTTAGAAAACACATGCATGTTTAACGTAGCAACATATTTTTGGCTCTGACCAGAGTTATTTTATGAGCAATAAATCGAGAAACGATTACTAGTGCAATATTTGTGCAGCAATATTTTATAACAGCCATCGTCGAGTATATTTTTCAATGTTCAAGTTAATCGAAAGAAGAAAGTATGGAAGTTTTCCTCTGCTTTTAACGCGCAATGATTTACTACTAAATTTGTATAAAATTAATAAGGAGAAGAATTCTATTGAAATTCAGACGCATCACAATGATAATACGTATTTGTTTCGTGTAATTTCAAATTATATTGTAATAGTATAGAATAAGTGTCAAACGCATCGTTTTATTCATCGAAGTTCCTCTTACATATTCTATAGTTCAAACGTTGACGATTTTCGACGATTTTAAGCATCGAATTTTAAGCGTTGAAATGAAACGAAAGAAGACATGCGGAGACTGAACAGAATTCAATACACTCGGTAGTTTTATACAATTAAACATTGTAATTTAACTCCGATGCGTGCTTTAAGGCTCGAGAATCTCGAATTTCGTGCGGTAAAAAAAAAAGAAAAATATATTATATATGTATATATGAGCGAAAGTCGCTCGCCAGAAAACTTAGTATCGAATCACTTGAGTCGCCATGTTTCCTGACGATGCAACGAAAGAGCGTAGCATTTCATGTAAGATCACCCTTCAATCAATCGTCAACTTTCATAACATCATCACTATCATCGTGTCTCTTTCGCATTACGCTCCCAAATTGCTCAATCCCTGCACCAAGGATAACGTATACTTACAATTTGAAACAGCAACGACAGATTTTGAAGTTTCAATTAAAATTGCGGTAAATTCAAAGTTTGAAAAGACGTTAAAAGACGTTAAAAAGATCAAAAATCTCTTAGCAAATTGTTGAAAACTCCAA